AACTGTACGAAAAAATGAAAACTATCTTTCTTATTCTTTTTACTATAATGACTAGTTTAACAAACAATTTAACCGTTCAAAAACCAGGACTGTACCTTCTTTTTAATATATGCGCATGTATAAAACAAATCAGAACAACACAGATACAGATTACTTACTGATTAAGGAATCATTATTAATTCGAGCTAATGAATCTGTTTTAAATGGCACTGATCGTTCTGGTCCCCTTTATATTATTTTCCTGACGGATTTTTGAAGAATGAGAATATGAATAAACTTAAAGGAGATGGATGACTCATATCACCTGCAAGCGTCACGAGTTAGAATACTTTATTATCAATGTACAGATAATGGTTTCTTTTGTGCATATATAAAAAAGAAGGTACAGTCCTGGTTTTTGAACGGTTAAATTGTTTGTTAAACTAGTCATTATAGTAAAAAGAATAAGAAAGATAGTTTTCATTTTTTCGTACAGTTAGTTTATGTTTGAAAATGAGTATCTAAGGTCGAATAAAATAAAGAATGAAGTTTAAATCAGCTGCATAATTAATCACTATGTTATTTTTCTTGAATAACCATTAGTTTTACTTCTCATTTAAATGTGATTCCAGTACTGTCCTCAGTTTATTCTTGAAAGTCCCTGCTACTGAAACTATTCTTTTTTTGTGTGCAAAAATCTGTGCGTAACATTCTGGTGCCCAACATTGCTTACGCGTATCGTTCTTAAACCAACGACGTACTGATAATCTTAAATTGGAGAAAGATACAATCGTTTGTGTTCATCTATCCTAAAATGTACTTGTTATATAAAATAATATTATTATTAGAATTTATTAAAAATAAAAAGACTCATTTTTTCTAGTATATGTACATAGAAAAAAATAATAATTTAATTGAATATTAAACAGAAATATTTCAATGATACAACACCGGTATATACAAAAACAATGAATAAAATATAGTCCATTAGAACTAAATCCATTAAACATTATCAAAATTTGAAACATGCACATTAGCTGAAAATTGCGACAACTAAAATACTTGAAAAACTTTGATTACAACGTGTAATCATGCCATATACTAAAACAAATCAACAAAAAATCCTCCATTATAATTCCTTTTTAATAAAAAATATGAAACAAGATGCAAAATCTACAAGAAACACATGAAAACTTACCAGTGTGTTACTTCTTTTGAATTAGGATACATATCGATCAATTCTTGAACACGTGACGGAGGATCTAAACTGTGTTTCATAGCTCTATTAAATCTTTCGAGTCGTGTGATACCTAAGTAAAAAAGAATGAGTAACCCATTTACGTCGCAGAGAAGACTGTCAATTTTTAACTACCTGTACACGGTCCAAAATCCATATTTAAATCAAATTTTTTTAATAATTCCAAATCCTTCTTTTCTATAACAGGAGTTTTGGCTTCTAAATTTTACAAAAAGTTTTTCGATTTGATTATCATGTTATTATTACAAGATTGACATAATCAGGTTAAAAAGGTTAAAAGAAAGGAGTCCTTAAGAAATAACGCTTTTCTATAAATAATTACTATCTGTCGGCTTTGATACAGGCAACACATCTGAATTGCTATTTTTTGTTCGACACTCTTTTGCTTGTAGTTTGTCCAATATGGTATTTGTATTTACTTTATCATCTGATTGTTTAGCCATATTTGTATTCTTCGTTTTTTTGTTTGCGCTGTTTTTAGCTTCAAATAAATTCTTTCGTTTATTATTGGACATATTTAATTAGCTAGAATAAAGGTAAATAAAAAATTAATGAAGTCGTTTCCTTTCAAAGTGTGAAAAATCAACTCATTTAGATCAAATAAATGCTCCATGGGTATCATCATACTGAAGAAGATCGATTTATTGAAAGTATTCGTGTTTAGAATGACTTAACCTAGAATGAAGCTGATGCTTTTCAAAACAAGAACTATAATTTTTCCCATAGAGAAATGCTATCAAAAATGAAGAATGTAAATAAATCTTTAGTTGAATCGATAAAAAAGCATCGATTTATCGCAAAAGGTATAACTGGTGCCTTTCTCACTTGCAATCCCCACAGAGTAATGGATAAAGTTTCTTTTTAATTAAAGGAGAATGTCAGCACAGTTTACAGTCGAAATACCATGAACTTTACACCATAAAAATAGTGAAACTCGATGAAATAATTTTAACTTTTTTATTGGGAACTAATAAGAAATAAATCACAGAAATAAATCACACAAAAAATAAATATAAACAATTTACTCTACAGTTTTATCGGTACCTATCCTTCAGCCTATGAGACATCTTTCTGTTGATTTCATTGAAAAATTAATGTTTTTTTTTGTGAAATGAAGTCGACTCTGCTGCATTAATTATTCAATTCACAGAAATATCGTTTTTATGTAATTTCAATTTAGTGTTTTTTTCCAAAAATATAAAAGAATTTGAGCAAAATGAGCTGAAAGGACGATAAAAGCAAAATATAATGCGAACAAACATTCGGCAATCTGTATTTATATTGACTGTAACATATATTTGTACAACTAATATACAACAATAAAAGAAAAGCTTGAAAACAGTCAAAAAAAGGTTGATTAAATTTGATTGATCAATATTTGTTCTCAAATATTTGTTTAGCGATTGCTAATAAATTCAGTTCTTCTTTGACTAAGACTGTGCTCGACGATGAATCTTTTTGTACTAAATTTTCAGAGCGATCTCTAGTCTTCTTTGTATTCCATGCTAGAAAAATTAAGAGATATCTATCCAATTAAACTGGTTATTTTTAAACTACTTACCACTATCATGCACTTTTAGTCAGATTACTGCTTAATACTATTGTTGTATGTTCAATGGTCAAATAGAATTCACCTAATGTCAATTTCATTGAACAACATTTAGAACTAAGACAAAATCTAAACAAACAAAATGACAGTAGTATTTTTTGTCTTATTCGTGTATTGTCTGAATAAATGTGAACTAATTCCCCAAAGCCATATGTGAGTATATTGTTATTCAAGTGATTAATATCATCACTAGTGTATCAATTGGAAAGTTTGAACTTTTTTCTCACTGTATCTATATCTTACATTTTTCTTAACTGATTCCGAAAAACCAAATGTAAATTCAATTATTATACTATGTAACATTCAAATATCTCTATTATATACTCTGCCGGTTAACAACAAGATTATCGCGCAAACCATTACTGGAAAAATATTCAGTGCCATATCAGAAATTAACGAAAATTATTTGAATAATAATATTAAAAATAACTGAAAATAGTAAGCATTCTGGGTCAATCACCATTCTGTACATATTTATCTTCTAAACACCATTATTTGAACTACATTAGAGTCAGTCTTTGTTTTAACTGGTCTACATCAGAATATTAAAATGGGAATTATTCGTAGATGATGATCTTTTTAGTCGTTAGTGTTAACCTGACTTTCATATTGACACCGAAATAAACAGATTTGTTTAGCTTTTTCTCTACAATCTGCTTACTTTCATTTCATTTGAAAAATCGACCACATCTTTGCCAGCATATAGAACTTGTTTCTGCACTGGACATTTCGACACTTCTGGTGTATACGTCATGATTTAATGATAGGCTACCTACCGCGATTGCCAAATATTATCTAGAAGAAAAACAGACCATACATAGACAAAGATAATAATCGAGATCACCAATAAGAGAATGTACCCATTGAAACAGAGTGTACAGTACCCACAACGAAAGTAAATCTGCATACTGTTTTGCGCAGTGTGAGAAAAACAGTGTACACTGCATACTCTGAATTTCTAATTTACACTTAAATTTTTTGTAGGTTAGGTTTTTTACCAGTTTATGTTGAGAATATTGCGTTGGTTTTTATGCGTACGATTTCGTGTGTACCTATCGCTAACAACCAACGATTGAATTCAATAGATGAACGTGTTGCAGTGCTGTCTAATCTCTAGACTGATATTCATGATCTCAAGGGATGGTAGTGGGTAATTCAACCACGAATAGGAAAGACAACGGAAAAACGATATCCGATGTTAGCCATATATCTATCCTATCCAAATTAAGAAAATGAAAGCACATTCAGTATATCACCAAAAGAGAAAGGGTACTGTCTCTTGAAATGTTGGCGAAATTTGATAACTGTTATATTGCTCAGTTTTTCAAAATACTGGTTTTTTAAATTCATATCTTTAATATATCCTTTAATCTTGGGGTATTTTGTTTTTGAAAAACAGAGCGTATCGGTACATTCTGACTCTAACTCTCATTAGGAACGCTGATCAAGATGTTGAGGTAAACTTGTGACTTAGTTTGCTTTGTTAAGCTTATAGCACTTGGATCCCATATACAGAAAAACAGCAAGGTCCTAACAGTGGTTCTAATAACTGTGTCTATTCGCTTCTATGAATTTCATATATGCAAGAAAACTTGTATTTATATTCCATTTTACACTATGAGGGAAAAAAAGACGTATATGTCGTATAGAATCGAATAGAAATTTATACTTCGTTTTTTAAGCTAGACTGAAACAAAACAATAAGTTCTTTTTCTCAGATGTGTAATTCATTTTATTATACGATTATGTTTGAGATAAGAGATAGTATAGCGAACTTGTTAAATAAATGTTAGCACTCCTAGAAAATTTTCACATCCTATAGTGCAATTTTGGTGAGGACTTGAGATTAGACTGTTTATAAATAATAAACCTCACTAAATCAACTTGATTGATGCCGTTGAACAATAAGACTAAACAGTTGACAAAATCAAAGAACACACACATTATAACTGATTTATCCGTATTATACTGCACAGATATGCGACTTTTCATTGGTTGATAAAGCTCGAGCGCCATCTAGTCGACTAATTTTAAGCTGAATCGAGACAAAAGTACATCGGAAGTTGGGTACTATACTGTTTCTTCGTCAATTATTCCGAAAATCTGGTATTACTTCGCTTCTTGTTTGCTTGGTGAATTAATATAATAATGGTAACTTATCTTCCATTCGCATAAAAAAAAGTGAAATGAGAAGGCAAGAGAAAAGAGGCCTTCCTTGTATGATGTGTTTCCTCCTTATAATATTTCTTGACTTAATCTCACTTCCTGCTTGTATTGAAGTGTTTGAGATGAATCTACACATCGTGATTTGGTGCTGAATTGAACCCCTCTTGCTGAAGTCAATTGGAAATACTGGAATCTGATCTTGTTCATAAATATTGAAACGATGAATGCAAGTTAATTACAGAATTTTTTATACGTTTTTTAAGCTTTCACTCTTAGTTTGAAGCGTGAAGGTAGTATTTATACCTGTTTGCTACCTGGTTATTATTTACAAAGAATGTTTGAAGAAGAAACGTGAGTAAAAAATGTACATATTTTTCGCTGAAAAGGAATAGAAATCTTAGTCAATAGATAGTAGCTTCTTAGACACGAATTCCATCACTGAAATGATCAGTTTTTCTAATGAAAGTTGGAATAAATGGTATGTATTACAATGAGAATTTCATCTCAGCTTCATTGTATTTGCATTTTCTCTAGCTACTAAACGAAAGTTCTATTTGTTATGTACAAACTAATATTAAAATTCAGCACGATAATACAAGCGTAGGTCATAATTATATTCTTTTTATTTTTTTTCACCTGAGACTGTAAAAGAATGGAAAAAGGTCACATTTCTTATAGATGAATATACATCATGTTCATTGATTCTACTCGAACTCGATTCTTATAGTTCACCAATAAAAAGTTGAATTTTGCTCCTAGAGAAACAAGAGTGTATATAAAACGTCGTTCTCTCTTTCTCTCTCTCGCTATATATATATATAGTCTATAGCTATAGATATGTTTTTTTGTCCTATTATAGAGAATATAATAAAACATAGAAAAAATCCGAACTTGCATTCTAGTTGAATTCTAATTGTTCTATATACTAGATCTTTATACTTACGTGCTGTTTCTTTGTCACATTACATTTTCAGACTTCTATTCATGTAAAGAGTATTTACATATTTCATTGATACGAGGGATTTAGGCATGTACCGTATAATTAGAAAGTTTAAAAACTGTACTATTTTATACCGAACCATTTTTATTATTGACATTGTTTTTTTTACTAAATACAAGTACGTTTTTTCTTCAAAGAAAACAAAATGAGATTAACCTTGCCATTATGACAGTAGAAACATCAAGAGAAATTTTCGAAACTTTTTGGTCTAGTTGGTTTTGTTGCTCTAGAACCATTTTTTTTAACAATTTTTCCAAAAATATTTTGTCATTTTCATGTTTTGAATCATCTTTCACTTTTAAACGTATAAAAAGACCGAAATTATTATTTTACTTAATAAAAGATATCTTTTTTTTTTCTCCACTATTTCAAGAAAGAATTGGTAATGACGATTATAACAGCTGTTACATGCAAAATTCGATGCACTTTTCTATGAGTAAGGAGGATTGTTCTTGAATTTTATATTTTCTGGTAAGATACCTTTGTACGTTGTATGTGTATTCTAACATCATCGATGTGAGTAATATTTAAATGAAGAGTAATTTGTTAAGATGAAATATTATCGTTTCCATCGGCTTATTTCTTGTATTGACATCAAGTAGGCTGGTGTAATCAAAATGAAAACGTTTATCAGTAAATTTTTGGTGATTCTCTAAAGACTAAACGTTTTTCATTTTTTTTTCTTCTATCTATGACTTTCAGCTACCCACTATGAGATAGATAGTAGTTCCTGCTGTATATTTATTTCATTGTGTAATACCATCATCATCATCGAATATATTTAATCATAACATCTGATTACATTACACTTAATTCTGTAAGTTGTACAAATTTGATCTATTAATCAAAAAGCTTTTATTCTGTTTCTTTATGCATCGTTATTTCTTGCATGACGATTTTTTTTGACATATGTATAGTTAAAGATTACAAGAATATTGTTTAATCATTTGATTCTAGCAGTGTGTTTGTTCGATTTTCTTTTCTTTTTTTTATCGCAGTTTCATATATGCTATCTTCTTTTCCTAAGTTTGAGTCTTATTTCAATTAAATAGCAGTTTCAAAAATAACAAATACACTAATCGACAAACATTGACAAGAAATATCAATTGTGCGTATAGAAGAAACATAAAAAAGAAAAACAGCACGAATGAGTCATCAAAACGCAATTTATAGTATATACTCTTTCCTATTTTTATAAAATTTCAGTCTGAGCAGGTAGTTTAATATATTTAGGTAAAGAAATAAGAAAAAAAGAGGAAAAGCGCGTCACTAACCGTTCTGCTTTTTTGAATAAGTATAGATCTACGTAAAATAGGTGGAATGAATAAAACTATACAGTTTTTTTACCTCATAAAAATTCTTGATAGACCTAAATTTCATGGCTTTGTTTAACTTGTTTTTGTCCGTTGTGTTATGATTTTGAAAGTTTTTTTTCTACAAAACAATTAACCTTCAAAACTAGACGTAAGTAACAAATAATATTCATTTTTACTTGTTATTTGTTTTCTTTTTAGAAATATGCATTTACTTCACGTTAATAATTCTTGTTTACTTTCATAAAATTTAAATAGACAAAATAATTTATTATCGTCGTATATTTTCTCCGTGTATATTTTGTACATATTATTTATTATAATCTCCATGAGTCAAGACGATATATTGTTGTCCACAAAATCGGTCATCCAAGGTTTAGACGCATTAAAAAATGAACATGGTAAAATGCTTGAAAGTATTATTGAAGCAATTAAATCACCAACATCACCATTATTGTCTTCATCGAATAATAATAATATGATAATATTACCATCTGGTATAAGTTTACCAACGGATACAAATAAATTAGAAGAAAAAATTGGTTTATTAAGAAAATCAATGGATATGATTGAATTGGGTATTGGGGAAGCACAAGTAATGATGCAATTGGGAAATCATTTACAAAATTTAGAAGCTGAAAAACATAAATTACGTACACAAGTTAAACGTTTGTGTCAAGAAAATGCATGGCTTAGAGATGAATTAGCATCGACACAAAAAAAACTTCATGAATGTGAACAGTCGAATGCACAATATTCAGTAGAAATTGAACATTTAAGATTTTTGAAAGAAGTTAAACAATATGATGTAGATAATAATAATTCATCAACATCACAAGGTTTAACAACATCAACATTAGGTGTCAATAGTTTGAACAAAGGAGTCAATGATCAAGATAAAGATTTAGTTAATGATTTATTTCCAAATGATGATGATCAAGGTGGACAAGATTATATGGATAATCAAGATGGACAAAAAAATGATATGAGAAGATTTGGTTCATATGCCGATTTAATGATGTCTCCTAGTCAATCAGCAAGTGGCTCATTTATTTCAGCGACAGGTTACGAAATTCCGGCGAGATTGAAAACATTGCATGTACGTAGTTGAAATAGTATCTACTGCTATTATTACTATAATGGTTTTTTTTTCCTTATAGAATTTGGTGATACAATATGCATCTCAAGGCCGTTATGAAGTAGCTGTACCATTGTGCAGACAGTAGGTTATTTAACTATTCTTTTCCTTTTAATCAAAAATCATTTATATGTCATTATAATGAATATTGATGGTTCAATTGTTACGATCACTAAATAACAATGTATTTAAATGTTTTAGGGCACTTGAAGATTTGGAGAGAACTTCTGGACATGTAAGAGTCGTGGTTTACTCGTATCCTCTTCTTTATATTTATTCACTAAAATTATTTTCTATAATTTATGTTTAGGATCATCCTGATGTTGCTACAATGCTTAATATATTAGCACTTGTCTATCGTGATCAATCAAAATTCAAAGAAGCTGGTTCTTTACTCAATGATGCTTTAGCTATACGAGAGAAAACACTCGGACACGATCATCCAGCAGTAGCTGCAACATTAAACAATTTAGCCGTTTTATACGGTAAGAAAACAAATAAAAGTACTCTATAATCAATATATTTTTTCTGATGTATTTTTATTGTAGGAAAACGTAACAAATACAAGGAAGCAGGTAATATAAAGAAATGCATGTGGTTGTTGTTTCATGTTCATAATTGCTGTTGATTATTTTTAGAACCACTTTGCAAGAGAGCGTTGGAAATACGTCAGAAAGTTTTGGGACCTGATCATCCAGATGTTGCCAAACAGTTGAGTAATTTAGCATTGTTATGTCAGAATCAAGGAAAATATGATGAAGTGGAATCATATTATAAACGTGCAATCGATATCTATTCAAAACGATTGGGAATTGATGATCCGAATGTAGCTAAAACAAAAAATAATCTAGCTTCTGCTTATTTAAAGCAAGCCAAATATAAAGAAGCAGAACAACTTTACAAAGGTACATAATTTCTAATTCCTCTCCATATTATTAACTATTTTATTCATGTCTACTTTAGATGTCTTGACACGTGCTCATGAAAAAGAATTTGGTACACAACAATTACAACAACAACAACAAGGAAAAATATCCAATGATGATCCAAAACTAAATAATGTTACAAATGTACAACCTCTTATTATGTCACCAGGATCAGCATTAAAAGGCAATAATAACGTTAATAATAATAATTATGAGACACAACAAGGTGGATGGTATAAAAATGTTCGTACGGATACATCACCCGCTATAGTTACACTAAAAAATTTAGGTTTATTATATCGACGTCAAGGAAAATATGAAGCAGCTGATACATTAGAAAATTGTGCATCACGAGCAAGAAAAGATCCACAAGCTATTGTGCAAGCATTAAATGTTGTTAAACAGACAAATTTGTCGACAACACTTGGCTCAACACCAACAAATGAAAATGAACAAAAAATACAAGCACAAGCTGGACAATTAACGTCTTAATTATTTTGTGAAGAAGAACTATTCATCTGTTCGTTTATCCCATTTATCTTTTTTCTCTATATAACAGAATTGGTATTAATGTGGTGCTATCGTACAAACGTCTTATAGTAGCGTGTGGGCAAGAAAGCAAATCGATCGATAATAAATAATTTTCCGTCCATATGTACACCGATTTAATCTTTGATGCAATTATTTAAAATAGTCATCTAGTTATCATGTAGCCATTCACGTACCGTAAAGCGTGTGTTTACCGATAAGAGCTGGAATCATAGAACTATCTTTTATTTTTTGCAATCTTTGCATCTGTCATCTGTCTTGATTGTCGACACCTATTTCAGCTGAAAAAAAAGTAACAAATGACAATTAGGAGACTCATCTAAACGAAGGAGCAGTTTCGTCAGTTTTTATTGGATTTTTACTAATGAGGAATTTCATTTTTTTCGTTTCTTTCCACAGCTTAGCTACTTTTTCGATGAAAAGGTGATCATTTTCCTAGAAACTATTTGCCTCTTAGTGTATGTACTCTGTTTGTTTCTTGTTTTGACAACAACTGCAGTTTGAACAGTGTGTATGTATAATTCATTTTATTTTTTTTTGTTGGCTTATTCTGTTGTTTGTGTTGTTCTTTTTAACTCAATATTTGTAGTAGCTGCTTATCGCTATTCTTGTTGTTGTTCTTTTTCTTTTTCTTCTGACCGTACATTTCTTATAGAAGATCTGCAACTTGTCTGATTTCTTCTTTTGGTGTGATGTTTCATTTTATGAAATATATTCTTAAATTCTCTCGTTTAATCACTTTTTTCTCTTCTAAATTGCTTGATCTCATTCTTGTCAAATATGCGATTGCTTGATGATTATTTTATATAACTATACATTAATTTATTCATCAAGGTTGTTTTTGCTGTCATCGTTTATTTCCGTACAACTAGTATGTCGTTTTTTGCTTTGATATTTGTGTATTGTGTAGTTCAATATATACGTTATTTACTTGAAGTCTAGCTATAAGCTGTACGACAGGTGAATTTGTATAATGAAAAGCGTTTATAAAAGAAAATAATGAATTGAGTAATAAAATTATTAATTGTTCAAGAGTCTAATTCTAATTTTGTTTATTGAGTGTACATTTATAAAATACAAATAGTACTTACAAGAGAGAATAAATAATAGCCATTAGTAAATTTGAGAACGTAGAAACTTTCAGCTCAAACTAGAGCCATCAGCAACTTTAATACTTAATTGTATATTTTATTTTTCTATCGAATATATTCATGAAAAAATGCGAAAGTAAATGATTATTATAATACGATGTTGTCGTTCATATAGCAACAAAATGAGCGATAAACTGCTGGCAATCGTCACACAGACAACATCGTAAAGAAATTTGTTGTCGCTATTGATTTTCTCGCCTTCCATTATTTTAGATCTAGACAAATTTTTATATATTTGTGCAATCACAGCTAACCATACAATCGTTTTTCTTCAGTCTTTTGAATGTAGTTGCTGATGGCTCTAGTTTGATATGACAGCTTCTATGTTTTTAAATTGACTAATGACTATTGTTTATTCCTTTCTGGTAAAAAGTATTTGATGAGTATCGTAAGCGAAAAATCGTAAGCGAGTATCGTAAGTGAAAATTTATAGGATTTCTTATTCTTTGGTGATTCTATGACATCGCCGATGATTCGGAAGATTCTCTACTGATTCTATAATTTCGTAGTTGCAAACTTAAGACTGATGATTCTCTATGGCATAATGAACTAAAGATCAATTATATTGTTCAAAGATTACAAAGCTGAATGAATGAAATGGTTACCATAGAAAGTTCAAATACAGACAGAGTTTTGAAAAGATATTCAGATGGTGTGTTTATTTTATACAAAGCATAGATATGAATGCGATAATGTTATAGATAGTCATCGATTAATTCACTTCTTATTCTTATTCTTTACACTATATACTATTCAGTATGACATTAGTTGATGATCAACTATCTCCTCAAAGAATGTACACCTGTATTATGTACGCTATATGTACTGTATAATGTACATGTACTATCAATTATCACCTGATATTATCTCACACTACAAAAACAGTCAAGTTCTTAAAAATATCAACTTCATCTCTCGAGACTAATTATAGATGAATTAAACAATAAAATAATAAATTTTGATTCATCATCTACAGCTGTTGTAGGGTCGAGTCGTATTTTATTTTGTACAAAATCTGCTCATACAGACACTTACTTTTGTATCTATTACATCTATCAATATTTCCTATTTCATTGCATACATGATCATCAACATTGTCAAAGACAGAATGATAACTGAAAAGTGTTGTCTGTACCTGTTCAATAGCAAATATGTTTTTGAAGAGTAAATGTACAAGTGGAATTGAGAATTTGATATGAGATGGTATATTTTTTCTTTTCTGTTTAATCTTGATTGATTACGGGCCCGCTACCCTCAGAAATTATCTCCGACACCGTACGTCCGATCTTGACGAAACTTTCCATAAATGTTAGACACAATGAGTTACGGAAATGAAAAAATTTTTTTGACTCCAAGTCTTACGGTTTAGGAGTTTTCCAGAGATTAAGGTCCAAAAAGGACCATGAAGTGCGTTCCAAGATTTTTTAATATACTTCAACCCGAAAAATCCTTCCGGATGTTCTAAAAATCCTCAGTTTGACAAAAAACGAAGACCTAATTCAAAAATCGACGCCGGTCAGTCGATGTAGTTTCTTTTCCTCTTTTAAACAAAAAAAGAATGAACTCTCTACGACAGACCGCTATTAAAAATC